TTTGCAATTGGCCCACGGAACTGATTTACCCGTTTTATTGTTGCTTCTCTGGTAGTGGTGGTTTCAAATTTTGTTAATTCAGGAAATATCCTGTTCAAACAAATTATTCAGTTATTTATCTTTACACAAAACGCTGTCGTAGTGACGCTGCAGTAGGTACGTCTAACAGAAGCGATTCAGTCGTGGTTATAGTGTACTATCTTTCTGTGGACAGTCTTTCACTCACAAACTGTCTGGCTGGTTCGCCCGTTGGATGATTGAGCGGCTGACCATTGCTGGTATTTGACGTCGGAATACGATATGAGCCAATAACAGTTTTGTGAAGACTTTTGGATTTGCTTAATGTATCCTTTCTTCCTTCTTCAAAATTTTCTAAATAAATGCTCGTGTTCTGCAAGTTCAAAGTTTAATTCGTTCTCAGTTTGCATGCTCATTGGTGATTTAATACAAGTTTGACTGTTTTTAGTTCCAAAGCCATTGCACCAGTTTGAATTTGCAGGGCATTGATTGTTTTACTTCAAATCATTGACACTTTTTGAAACCAATTCGATTTAATTTTTCCTTTCGGAGAGAATCTTACAAATGTTCTCTGTTATAATTTCATCTTCCTTTAACAATAATTTGATTTACTTGATGTTCAGATCAAAATCATTTTTTTGTTATGACATCAGCAAGCAAAATAAAGACGTCATGGGTCATTCATGAAAAAGCTGAAGACTGGTAAAGGTTCTTTTGTTCTTCATTAAATTTTTAGTTAAGTTGTTGTTTCTGTTTTTCCCCTTCATCTCTCCTTATCCTCTCTTTGGTATTACGCCAATCTTTTCAGCATTTTATTTGGCTACTTGGAGACTCGTTATTTTCTTATGAGTGGTTTAGCAGTTTACAGTCTGCAATTAACTAGTAAACTAATTGTTGGCAAATTTTGGGTACGGTTGGTGACGCTGTACTCTTGTTGACTTCTTCCCTACCACTTTATTTGAGTAATACCTGCTCCGATTAATTCACTTTTTGTCAGGTGAGTACCTAGGAAATGAAGTTTAAAGTTGAAAAAATTGAGTATTTCCAGAGTTTTCAATATTTTTCGTTGTAATATGGAGCATTTCCTTGGAAGGATACATGATAGTGTTTTTGTTACCGCTCAGAGTACTTTGCTTTATGGGTGCGTGTGTGCCTCGGTATTTTTCTACCTTCTTTATTTTAATGACAATGTATTTTTAATGTTCGTTTTCTTAGTGTCAACCAGCTTACAGCGTTGTTTAAAACCGAATTTGGACTTGAAAGCAGACTGCTTGTTGTGCGCACTTCTATGGCTTGCAGAGTTTAGCAGTGATTAATATTGTATCGGTAGATCTTCCTTCGGGCATCCTTATGCTGACTGTCCACAGTTGTGGAAACGTTTAGCCATTTGATGGTTTTCATATTTATTTCGCCACAGTTTTGTACCTCTTGTTCAACTCTTTATAAAAGTTTTGCATTCAAAATTTTTATGCGGAGTACCTGATCAAGCATTTGAGCCTTCAAAGTATTAGGTTCTTACTACTTCCGTTTGTTCTCATGGGAGCTTGTTCATTTGGAACAGGTTCAATGCCGTCCCCATTTTAACGTGTTCCTCTTCTTATTTTAGAGGTATTCAAACAATATTTTAGAAGCTTGGTAGTTACCGGGAATTATCCAGAAGGATGAATATTTTCCGTCTAGCGGGCGACATGTCGCACTTAGTCGCCATCATCATTCTTCTGGTCAAAATGTGGAAGACGAGATCTTGCGCAGGTAAGCAGACATTTCAATTCCTATAGTATAATACAGCTTGGAGTTTTGGATTCCTATATTATTTTCTTCGGATCCGTAGCGCTAATCGTTATTCACGCATTTCTGCCTTTTTGATTCCAATAATTCTGGCCAATAATAATTTCTTACTAGTTTTTTAACGACGTGAGAATTTTTTGAACATTAGATTTTGCCAGCGTGTCATATTTTTTTTTTTATTATCTTCTGTTTACTCACTAAAATCTTTTCTTTGTCGTTTAAAAGTTAGATCGGTCTTCTTTTTGTAGCTCTGGTTGCTATTACATATTTATTTTCACAAACTGTTATCTACAGTTAAGAATGGATTTTAAAAAAATTACAGTTTTGACTTATTAGTTAAAGTGCTGAAGACATTTCTCTTTTTATTTGAGCTACGAGGATTTTTGCATTTTAAGTGTGTTTTTGGATCATGTTTTAATCTTTCACGGAATAATTTTGGAATTACAGTATTTTGATGGCAAAGGTGTTAGTTTATTCTTTTAGGTATTTCTGGACGCTCTCAAGTTCTGTTTGCCTTGGTTTTCACTTCACGTTACCTTGATTTATTCACGAATTATGTGTCTGTTTACAACTCAGTAATGAAGGTAATACTTGTTTTTCTTTCTAGGTTTTTTTTTAGCGCGGAGCGGCTATTTCAAAATAAATATTCGGCCTGTTCTCACCTGTTTCTTTGTTACTATGAAGAGGGTGAGTGTCAGTAGGGAAGAAATAAACAGGGGAAGTGAAAATTTTAAGGTTTTTGATAGGTTGTTTACAGCTGCTGTTTCTTGACAGTTTTGTAACAGATAGATATGGAATTATTGAGTAGCTTGAGTGGTGATGAGATTCTAAGTTATAGTCTGTTAGCATTTTGGTTTTTAATTTTATTTCTTTTTGCCTATATTTTTGGTCTTACCTTAGATTATAGAGTTTCTAAGTGTAAACCAGGTTTGCCTCATTTCTTCTAGGTCTTCTTTCTTATATCGTCATATGGAACGTGTTACTTAATGTGGATGAAGTTTAAAGCGACATATGACCGGTATCATTTTTACAGTTTGTTAAATTTTATCTTTAGTTTATTCAGCAGTAACCTCTTTTTTTAGAAGGTTTCTTCCTGTGATTTTGTAAATTTGTTTATTTTTTGTGGGATCGTAGTTTTCTTACTCAAGTGTTAAAATAATTTAATGACTTTATTTTCAGAAATCATGACACATTCAGAATGGAGCTTCTTGCTATTCCAGCTCTTTTACTTGCATTGTTAGTAAACCACGAATTTACCTTTATGGAAGTAAGCAACTTTGCTGCAGTGATTTTAAGGAATTTGTTACTTTTTATTCATCAAAATTATTAAATATATTTCTGTCTTGTTCTGCTTTTTTCTATTGCGGTGTAATGTAAGAAAAGTTAACCAATTGTAAGTACGGGTTTATTTTTTTAGGTGTGCTGGACATTCTCTATTTACTTGGAATCAGTTGCCATAATGCCTCAGCTTTTCATGCTTTCACGTACTGGAAGCGCTGAGACGATCACAGCACACTATCTTTTTGCTTTGGGCATTTACAGGGGTCTTTACATCTTGAACTGGATTTACCGTTATTATACTGAAGAATTCTTTGACCCAATTGCTGTTGTTGCTGGTGTCTTACAGACTGTCCTGTACGCTGACTTCTTTTACCTTTACGTCACAAAGGGTTAGTTGCACTTAATGCGGATAGGAGGCTAGCTGAGTTCTGTCAGCTGCATAATGTTTTAAAGGATGTCGACAGTAGTCGCGCATATGATTCTTAAAAAATTTTTCTTTAACAATTTTTTTTATGTTTGTAGAAATTTTATGATTTTTACATTGTTAGAATTAAACGTAGTAGTGCTTTTTTTTTTTTTTTTTTTTTTTTTTTTTTATTAAATTTT